TTCAAGCACTCACCGCCACCACTGATCCTTCTTGTTATTCTCAAGCTGTGGGACATCCACATTGGCGCGAGGCTATGGATCAAGAATTTAATGCATTACTGCATAATAACACTTAGCGGTTGGTGGCTCCGGAATCTCATATGAACATTATTGGGTGTAAGTGGGTGTTCCGCACTAAGCGTAAAGCTGATAGGACCGTAGAGCGCTATAAAGCGCGCCTCGTAGCTAAAGGGTTCAACCAGATATCAGGTGAAGATTTTTTGATACTTTCAGTCCTGTGGTTAAACCGACCACGGTACGGATGTTGTTTGCTCTTGCTGTGTCCAATGACTGGACCTTACGCCAGTTGGACGTCCATAATGCTTTTTTAAATGAACATCTGTCCGAGACTCTTTTTATGAAACAACTATCAGGCTACGAGGATCCAGCTAATCCTGGACATGTCTGTCACTTACAGCGTTCCCTATATGGCTTGAAACAAGCACCACGGGCCTGGTTCAAGCGATTTCATGATTTCTTACTGTCTGCAGGGTTTAACTCATCAAAGACAGATGTCTCTTTGTTTTACTACACTGCTGGGAGCGCATGGGTATTCCTACTTGTGTATGTTGACAACATTATTATGATGGGGAATGACTCGACTCTGGTTACTACTTTATTAGGTCGTTTGGCCTCTACCTTTAAGATACTGGATCTTGGGAGTCCTCGGTTCTTCTTGGGTATTGAAACAGTTCCTTATGAGAAAGGTATTCTTCTTTCACAACGCCGCTATATGACTGATCTTCTAGGGCGGTCTGGGATGGCTGACTGTAAGCCACTAACCGACTCAAAGTCAGTCGTACAGACGGATGAGTTACATGACAACCCGACTCAATATCGTCGTATAGTTGGTGCTCTACAGTACCTAACTATTACTCGGCCTGATCTTGTGTATGCAGTCAATCGTTTGTGCCAGTTAATGCACTCGTCGACTACAGAACACTGGGGTCTTGTTTAATGGGTTCTGCGTTACATCAAGGGCACGCATGACTATGGGTTACATCTTTCGTCATCAGCCTCTACTACCATTCATGCATATTCTGATTCAGACTGGACTGGGTGTCCTATTGATCGCAAGAGTACAAGTGGTTTTGCTGTTTACCTAGGGGCTAATCTTATCTCCTGGCTCTCCAAGAAACAGAGCACCGTTGCACGTTCGTCTACCGAAGCAGAGTATAAAGCACTAGCTGATGTTTCCGCTGAAGTTACCTGGGTTGTGTCTCTACTTCGGGAGTTGGGGTTACACTCTGGACAGCCAGCCACGCTGTGGTGTGATAATCTAGGGGCCACCTATCTATGCGCCAATCCAGTTTTTCATGCACGCACAAAGCATGTGGAAATTGACTATCCTTATTTACCAAGAAGTGCTTAACTCCATGAAGAATAAGAAAGGAAAAGGTGGCTGTATGATAATGAAGATCGACTTGGAAAAAACTTATGATAGATTATCATGGGACTTCATCAAGGATACACTACATGATATTGGCTTTTAACAGTGTGTGGATAAAGCGTATTATGGAATGTGTATCATCTCCGAAACTGGCAGTCATATGTAATGGCCAGAAATCCGAATGGTTTAAGCCAGGGAGGGGAATTCGTCAGGGAGATTCTATTTCACCTCTTCTTTTTGTTTTATGTATTGAAAGACTTAGTCATATTATTCTGTCCTCTGTTAATAATGGGAGATGGAAAGGTATAAAATTGTCTAGGCAAGGGCCTTATCTTTCCCACCTCTTTTTTGCAGATGACTTGGTGCTCTTTGGAGAAACAACGGAACAGCAAGCCTTGGAGATGAAATGGTGTCTCGAAACCTTCTGCTTGTGCTCAGGCCAGAGACTCAGTTTGCAGAAATCAACCTTATTTTTTTCGAAGAACACAGATGATGGCTGTAAGCAAAGGATTAATGCAGTGACTAGAATCCCAAGCATTTCCAACATGGGGATTTACCTGGGAATTCCCTCGATCCATGGAAGAATCAGGAATGATACTTTCTCAGGTGTTTTGGAGAGAGTTCAATCTCGTCTTGCAGGGTAGAAGTCCAGAACACTATCCATGGTTGGTAGGATCACGTTGGCACAATTTGTGCTGACCTCGATCCCTTTCTACTCCATGCAAATCACGTTGATGCCAGTAGGTGTGGTCTCAGCTATCAAAAAACTCGTTAGGGGTTTCATATGGGGAAGCAAGGATGGTGAAAGGAGGTGTCACCTCGTTAAATGGGACATTGTAACCAAGAGCAAAGCTTGTAGGGGTCTGGGTATCCGCAGGTTAGAACAGATGAACCTTGCGTTCCTTGCCAAACTTGGTTGGAGGTTGATGAAGGATGATGAGAGCTTATGGTCCAGAGTCTTTAGAGCCAAATACTCGATCGATGATGTTGACTGCTCGAAGTGGAGACATAGAAATAACTAGTCTAATGCATGGAGAGGAATACTGAAAGCTGTGCCTATTCTTCAAAAAGGTACTAGGAAGCAAGTCATCGGTAGAGGTACATCCTTCTGGAATGATAGATGGATCCAGGACAAACCATTGATCGACCTAGCGATTGGCAATGTACCAGCCTCTGACCAAAGTAGAAGTGTTGCTAGCTACTGGAGTATTGATGAAGGTTGGATCTGGAGTCAGTTCGACGAACTCCTTCCGGCGAAAATTCTGAACAGGCTAGCCGCGTTTGTTCTGTGAGAGAATCAAGAAGAGCATGACCTCATCAGCTGGAGTAAGGAATCTTCAGGTTGTTTCTCTGTCAACTCGGCGGACGACATCGCAATAGGAGAGACAGATCATGTGGAACCAACCAAGTGGAATAGCGTTTGGAAATTAAAAGTGCCAAATCATGTTCGTACGTTCATATGGCTTGCTGCCCATGGGAAAGTCATGACAAATAGCGAAAGAGTCAAGAGGAAGATCTCCATAGACGATAGATGTTGGTGTTGCAACGATAAGGTGGAAGATGTGGAGCATGTGCTAAGAACATGCCTAGAGGCAGAAAATGTTTGGAAGATAATATCGCCGATTTCTCATGCAAATCGTGCCTCCTTACCCTTTGACAGATGGCTGGAACAAGGCATATCGAAGAGAAACAATGGCAGACATCCTCAAGATAATAAGGTGCTTTTCGCACTAACAGCATGGTGGCTATGGAAGTGGAGGAACGAGGCAATTTTCAACAACTCCAAGAAACCGCTAAGTGTTAAGATCACATGGATAAAATCTCAAATAGATGAAGTAAACAGAGCCTTTCGAAGGGCAAAGTTTGTCGTAAATCATCATCTCCAGGAGTCGTGGAAGCAGTTATGTTGGATCAGACCCCCACAGGACCTTGTTAAAGTTAACGTCGATGGGTCAGTAAACCCCTCCGCAGACAAAACTAGTTGTGGGGGTGTTATAAGAGATTGCTCTGGAGATTGGATAAAGGGCTTCATATATATCATTGGCAATTTCTCTCCATTAGAAGCTGAGGCCAGGGCTCTTTTGAAAGGTATTCAGCTAGCGATATCAATGGGAACCAGAAGGGCTTTATTCGAAAGTGATGCAGAGGAAGTCACAAGGTACATAAATAGAGATGACAGACCAAGGATAGCCCCCATAACATTTTAGAAGCATGTAAAAAAGAGTTACGGAGCTAGGAGCTTTGGCAAGTTGAATCAGTTGCTTGTGAACAAAACCAAGTAGCGGATGCCCTTGCTAGAACTTTTGCCCACCTTCCGGTTGGTCTGCACATCCTTGGGAAACCACCTGAGGAAATGTTATGACTAATTGATGATGATAAATCTGGTGTACCTAGATGGCGTGAGACCTCTAGCTTTAACTAATATGTTGTAGTCTCTTTGGGTATCCCCCTCCTTTCTATATAAAAAAAAAAAGGATAAGAATTAAATAATAATATTCTATGTAAAAATGTATTTCACTTTTGGTCCCTACATTATAATAATAGGCAAATTATGCTAAGCAACCGTGTGCACCATGGATGGTGCACACGGTTAATTACAAAAATGACATCGTTTTACTTTTTAAAAAATCATTTTTGATTGTCGTTAGTTACGTAAACATATGTTCATAATTTTCTAATTTTACATTCTGAATGTATAGTTATGAAGTTATGGATGTGTAGTTATGCAATTCTGAATGTATAGTTATGAAGCTAAGGATGTGTAGTTATGCATGCAATTCTGAATGTATAGTTATGAAGTTATAATTTCACATTCTGAATGTATAGTTATAAAGTTATGGATGTGTAGTTATGCAATTCTAAATGTATAGTTATGAAGTTATGGATGTATAGTTATGCATGCAACTCTGAATGTATAGTTATGAAGTTATGGATGTGTAGTTATGCAATTTTGAATGTATAGTTATGAAGTTATGGATGTAAAGTTCAAATTATGCACAACATAACACCGTTAACGGTGATTGAAACTGATTTTTTTTTTTTTTTAAGTAGGACGTCAAAACGACATCGTTTTTGCAACCGTGTGCACCATGCTTGGTGCACACGATTACACAGCATAACGCTCCATAATAATAAGGGCCATTAAATTCAAAGTCCGTTTCGCCTTTTTGGTTATACAGGATAAGTTAAGTCTGTTTTAATGGTAAGTACAACATTTTCAAATGTACAACTATAATTACAAATAGACAATTGAGATTAGTTCTCACGTTTTGATGAGCAAATAATTCTTATTTAAAACCAATCTTATGAATATATATTGGCAAGTGAATACATATATTTTTGTAAAACTGTGAAATAATTTTAATTATCTATTTAATTTAAGATATTTGGAATAACAATGCCTAAAAAAGTGATAATATTTCTATAAAGAATTCTACTACATGTACTTCCTATTTCTAGTCATTCACTTTTACTCCTTATGTGACAATTGGTGATTAGTTACTATCATCCTGTGGATCTCAATGAAAATGTCAATGTCAAAATTTTGTGAGATGAAATAAAAATTGAGAATAATATTTAGAAGTATGAATAGTATTTTACTTCTATAAATATTATCAACTTTGAACGTGCCCAGGTAAGCATTAATTACCCCTACCTGGCTAGCTAGCTGGTAAAACAATAAATGGCATGGAATAAATCGCAACGGAAGAGATGGGGAAGAAACACGTACTACTACTCTTAGTTGTATCATTAATGCATCAAACCATAAACTATATACTATATATTATAATTTAAAAAAGAAAAAAAAAAACAAGAACAACAACAACAATGCATGCATTGTACCTTATGCCTTTTGGGTGTAAAAGTGGCTTTATTATTAATGATATATATATATATATATATATATATATATATATATATATATATATATATATATATATATATATATATATATATATATATATAGAATTGCACTCAGGTGCGAATGCTTCGCCCACGAAATAGGAATGGATTCTGTCCGTCCACGTGTCCAGATCTAATGGATGAGAAACAATGATTTTTTTTAAAAGCTCAGTGACATTTTCGTAAATAATTGAACATCGAAGTGCAAGTAAAATGTATTACAAGTGCATGTAAAATGTATTATAGGTGCAAGTAAAAATTTACACTGAGCATCAATACTAAGTGCACCTATAGTTCTAAGTAGTTGCACACATAGATATAAGTAGTTGCACCTAGGTGCATGAATGTTTGTGGGTGGTTTTCAGGGGTATTACTACCTGCTGAACTCAAATCAATGAATGTTAACAAGACAAAATTACATGCACTTATAGGTGAAAGGAGATGCACTGATAATTATAAGTAATTGCACATATAGTTATAAATAGTTGCACCTATAGTTATAAACACCCAGGTGCATGAATGTTTGCGGGAAGTGAATGCTAACAAGGCAAAATTACATGCACTTATAGGTGAAAGTAGGTGCACTTGTAAGTGATTTTACTTGCACTTCGATGTTCAATTATTTATTTTACCTTAATTTGAGGAGGAGAACTGTGAATTGGGATCGATCTTAAGGCGTAATAAATTCCTTTATTTATGTTCAAATTGAGACCTTAATTTGAAAATGACGAAAATACCCTTAATAATTTTATATTTTAGTGTGTGTAAAACAAATGAATGACCGGCATAATGAATTTTGACGCAAATAATAATTATGGACGAAAATTGGTACTAAAACAATAGTCGTGGATGAACATTGGTATGAATTAAACACGTGGACTAAAACTATCATTTTACTAATACTCGTAGGACCAAAATTGGTATTCGCTTAATTATTTCATAAAGACTAACAATGACATATTCCAAGCTAAGGTGTACAATTTTTTTTGCATCATTGATTATTTCCTTTAATGCTTCATTCATTCTATTTTATGTGTCTGATTCGGTTAATGAATCTTGACTGAAATTATTTCTAAATTAGTTTTTTTCAATTATTAAGTTTAATATTAATATATAAATTTAATATATTTAGAAACTGCATTAAAAGTATTATTAAACACACAAAATCAATATATTCCCTTCAAAAAAAAAAAAAACACATACAAAATCAAATTTAAAAACAATTAATAATATTAAAGAATAAAAAAAGAAGAAGAAATAATTGATTTAATCTATGATGAATAATAAATAAGAAAGGTAAATGGAATATATATTTTATAGTGTGTGCGTTGCAATTGAAGATAGAAATGGATAGACAACAAATAACATTTCTTGCCGAGTTAATGTCAGGTCCTCCGAGTATAGTGTTTTTGTCACGTTTAGTCTTAAATTTTTAAATTAATCATCCGTGATTTTTTGACTTTCAAATTTAATAATTCGTGGTCCAAGTTAACCACCTATGATCCTTCAACTTTAGAAATTTAACCAGCCATGGTCCTCTTGAAAGGACCATGATTGGTTAAAATTTAATAGTAAATTAGGAATTAGTAAAGAAAGAAAATAGACATCTTCATTAATGGAAATGAATTATTGAAGTTTGTTCAATTAAAATAAATTGACAATAAATGTTCTTTGTCTTCTACCAAATTCCATTTTCTATTGCAAAGTAAAGGCAAACACGCAATGTTATATAATCTACAATTAAAGAAAATAATCAACAACATAAAGAATTTTTACACTTTCAAATAGGTCATTGACTCATTATTGTTAGACTTTGTGAGAATTTTACTTGCATTTTTACCACTTTCTCTACCTTTAATTCATTATTACATTGGTCTGTTGGTGTATAATGGTTGATTTGTAATTCTAATCACACATGAATATGTTGAAAGATATTTTATTCTAACAATAATTGGATCTATATAGTCCACGGGGAGAGTTTATTGGTGTAGAAGGCTGGGTTGGTTTGTAATTCTAATCACACATGAATATGTTGAGTGTCATTGAAAGATACTTTATTCCCCAAGTCTATTGGTGTAGACTGTAGAATGGTTGGTTTATAATTCAAATCACATATGAATATGTTGAGTGCAATTGAAATATTCGATACTCTATTCTAACAATAATTGAATGTATATAGTCGGGAGAGAAATCATATTGATCGAATAATTACTGTTAATATAATTGTCAAATATTCGTTAAAAGTACCTACCTATTAAATATTTAATAACAAATTGTTCATAAATTTAAATATCTTCAATCAATAGTATCAACACAAAATACCATACATTTTTCCTGGGCTTCATTGCTTTAGCTAATAGATAAGATCCTCCATTGTGCACTACTGGAAATTATGAAATTTCCGACCACTTAAAAGTGATCTTAAATCAAGTCGAAAGCTTTGTTCCGATCACTTTTGGTATCCGGGAAAACCTTTGTTGTCATTTCCGACCACTTTTTGGTATCAACTTAATTTAAGAACACTTTTAGGTGATCGAAAATTCCATAATTTTCAGTAGTGGTGGTTTTTAAAAATGTGTTACGTTAATTATAGGGAAGTTCTATTTGCACCACCCTATTTACTATTTGCACCCACCTATTTAATAGGTCAAATAGATGGTGCAAATACCAAAGTAGGTGGTGCAAATAAATGTAGTCAAAGTAGGTGGTAACATTTATTATTTATTATTTTTTAACAATAAACATTAAAAAAAAAAAAAAATGATCGCCTTCTCCGGTGAGAAGGACTGCCTTCTCACCGGAGAAGGCAACTGGGCTGCCTTCTCCGGCGAGAAGGCAGCCCACTGTGTGGGTCGCCTTCTCGCCGGAGAAGGCAGCCCACACAGTGGGCTGCCTTCTCACCGGAGAAGGCAGCCCAGTTGCCTTCTCCGGTGAGAAGGCAGTCCGTCGCCTTCTCACCGGAGAAGGCGATGGCTGCTCCGTTTTTTTTTTTTTTTTTTTTTTTTTTTTTTTTTTTAAATTACATTTTGACCTCATAATTGTAAATTTAATAGGGTGGTGCAAATAGCATTTTGACCACCCATTAGGCTATTTGCACCACCCATATTTACTACCTTTTTACATTTTCAAAGTGCTTTATACCTCATTTTAGTCAATGGGTGGTGCAAATAGCAACACCCTTTTAAAACTGACCAAACAAATGAGTACAAACTTTGTCCTTATTTATTACCAATGAAATTTAAATTCAATTTTTATATTCATTTACGTGAACTTTTGGGTGTAAAAGTTGCTTTATTTTTAATGAGCTATATATGTTGTAGGCTTGTCCATAAAAGGCAATTGATGGATATCCAATTGTCCATACGTATAGGTTTCTAGAGAAATGGGAAAGCATGGAAGAAAGAGAGAAATGGGAACGCATATGAGGAAAGGAAATGGGAAATTGGAGAGAAATTAATGTTGTGTTGTACATTTGTCAGATTTTAAAAAAAGAAATTAAAAGAAAAAACAAAAATATTACTTATACTCTAAAAATTTATTTTTTACTTTTACATCCATTAACTCACATAATATACTATTAACTGTGTATATATATATATATATATATATATATATATATATATATATATATATATATATATATATATATAGAGGGTTGCATTTAAATATAAACCCCTTAAAATACAAACTCTCCTTAAAATACAAACTTGAGCTCGTGCACACATTAACATACTTACATGCACACAGTTTGTATTTTAAGAAAAGTTTATATTTTAAAAGGGGTTTGTATTTGAAAATAATCCTCTATATATATATATATATATATATATATATATATATATATATACACATACCGTTAATAATATATTATGTGAGTTAATGGATGTAAAAGTAAAAAATAAATTTTTAGAGTATAAGTAATATTTTTCTTTTTTCTTTTAAGGGAAAATGACACTTTTTCCCCCTGAGTTATATACTTATAGTACTTTTTCCCCCTGAATTATTTAAGTGGCTCTTTTTCCCCCTGAAATGTTAAATGGACATATTTACCCTTAAAATAAATATTTAAAATAAATAATTCATTTATTTTTCTTCTCCAACAAATTATTACTATAATTTGGTTCAAACCAAACAGATACTATAGCAACCAAACCAAAATATTCCAATTACAATTTATAATCAAAACGCGATATTTAGAGTTTATTAAAATCGCGAACCGGAATGGCCGGTTCATGTTCCGAACTGAAAAAATAAAATACATTTATTGTTGAATTTAGACTATTTTAAAATAAAAAATAAAATTTTAAAATAAAGACGGTTCAAAATTGCGAATCGGATCCGGAACCGCCGGTTCATGGTTCATGATTCAATTTTTTTTAATTCTTAAATTTAATAAATTGAAATCTAAATATTGGGTTCTAGATCTGAATTATAACCGAAAACTTTTAATTCGATTGCTATAGTGTCTGGTTCAGTTTGAACCGAACCGTGGTAATCGCTACATATACGCAATAATTAGTTGGATAAGTAAAATAAATAAAATGTTTACTTTAAGGGTAGAAATGTCAATTTAATATATTAGGGGGAAAAACCACCACTTTTAAAATAATTGAGGGGGCTAATGTGCTTACATAAATAATTGAGGGGGAAAGAGTGCTATAAATATATAACTTAGGTGGGAAAAGTGCCATTTTCCCTTCTTTTAATATACCGTTAATAATATATTATGTGAGTTAATGGATGTAAAAGTAAAAAATAAATTTTTAGAGTATAAGTAATATTTTTCTTTTTTCTTTTAATATATATATATATATATATATATATATATATATATATATATATATATATATATATGGATCATGTGAAAACACTTTTATAGGAGAGGAATAAGAACTAATCTTAGGTTTACATACGTAAAAATTCGACAGATTTGATTAGATTTTTTTTGTTTAAAAAAAAAGAAGAGATGTGATGGTAGTTTCGTAATTATCATAAACTTCTGTGCAAACTTTAACACTTAAATATGCAATCTTTAACACTGGACCAAATAAAATATAAAACTAAGTTATAAAACTCTAAAATCAAAATTCTAATTGCAATGTCCTTTTGCATTTTTGCAAGTGCAAACTTTTAATACTAAACATGCAAAATGTTCACATTAAATGTGCAAAAACATTAATACTAAATGAGCAAATGTGGAAAAGTCTAAAAATTGTAGATTTTAGTGTTCACATTTGCATAGCAAAGTTGGTGATAATTACGAAACTGTCGCTGCGGTTTTTTTTTTTTTTTTTTTTTTTTTTTTTTTTTTTTTTTAATATGATCTAGTGCATTCAATTTTTGTAAAAGTAAGGTTAGTGGAAGCGTTATTGACTCTTTATGTTTTAATAAGTTGAGAAAGTATATGAACAGATACTACATTGTAATAGAGCTAGTAGCATTCAAAAAAAAAAATTTAATTTTCTCCTACAAACTTGTTCTCATATAATCTAACACACACACATATGGATATACCCTGGGATACCAAACCGTACATATTAAGCACCTGACCGGACCACGCTTAGTAAGGATTGTTTACCAACCTAATCCAACCCCGAGAGACAACTCAATCAATCTGAACGGGAAATCTTTTCGCTTATTAGTTTTTATAATGCTGTCAAAATGATAATCCTCTAAATCTTACACATTTTAATATAATAAAGATGTCTTTAAAAAATAAATGTAGAATGATATTTGATGAACAAATATGCTAGATTTTAATTAGAGCAAACATATTTTATAATCTCGTGACTTTTCTGAAATTTACATGAGTAAAATTTTTGATTCTATATATTTTTCAAATATTGTTTAATGTGCACATTTTTTATTTTATTTTATTCTTTTTTGAAAATTACACATTTTTTTTTTATTTATGCAACTAACATATGTTTCATTGTTCTTGTATATGACAGACAATGTAATACATACTCGATCGCAAAATCAATTTGGATATGACATTATGTGAATCAAACAAATAACTTGCGATATTTAGGGATTGAAGGGTTACTTAGAAACGGTAATACTTGTGGGAAAAAATATAATACTTATCAAGAATCCGACTTATTTCACACAATTGTTATATCGTGCATCAGGGCGCACAATAAATTCCATGTTTCGTATGTACATAATCGTATAATAGAATACACATAAACTCCTAATATAATACACATAATTTTAACATAATACATAATACACATAAACTCTTAACATAATACACATAAACTCTTAACGTAATACACATAAACTCTTAACATAAT